ATATAGCAAGGGTTATGACTTATTGATAAAATTAGCTAATTGTGCTTCATTCAACAAACCATGGTGCAGTGAGACATATAAAATCAGTCTACATAAAAGTGATCTTTTGCACCATTTTGAAGGGATGTTATCTCCCTATAAATGGGGTAGGATGCCTGTCACTCTCAAAAAATCTCCAACTTCTGCCCACCTAGCAGTTCAGAAGTGTGCAAACCTGAATAGATAAACCGGTACCAATTCAGTGAGGCTCATTAACGAGGACATGAAAGGCACCCCCAACTGGGCATCCCCTGGGCAACGATGATGTAAGTTGCTAAGCTATAAATTATATTTTACTACTACTAATGCCTCATATAATATTCTACAACAGAATCTAGCAAAGAATATCATGATTTAGCTTAATTAAACTCAGCCACAATATGAGAAATCCAAACCAAAATAATGTTTGGTCAAAGAAAAAGCAATTAACGATGACTAAAACATTGTTATTGTATTTTCCTTATATATCATTCCATTGTTAAACCACATCTCCAATTATCCTGATTGGCCAATTTACTGCATTTTAATCTCAAAATGTCTGAGATCCCAGCAAAGACACACTTGTTATCGAAAAATAATTGTTTCTTACAATATATCAGAATGCAAACAATCTCAACATTTCTAGAAGAGAACAACATATTTAAGGTTTTAGCATTTATTAACAAGAAAATATTCTCCAAAGGAACTCTCATAAAATAGTTTTTTTCATACAGTGTTTACTTAAGATCTATATCTATATCCTAAGATTTTACATTGTTTTATATAACAAAAATAAATCATGCCCATAAATCATTCATTCCCAATGAATTACAGTATAAAGCTTTCATACCTTAACATACAATTAACAGGAAATCCAGCATCCAGATTATGGACAGCTCGTAAATCTATCGAAAAACAAAAATGATGGGATGATGCAGGAACAGCAATTTTTTGTCCTGTAGTGGATTCAGAAGTACTGGGATGTTGAGTCTGAGAAGCAGGCATTTTACTTTTCAAAGCTGCAAATATAAACACAAGATTAACTTTTTAAAAAGTCTTAGCTTTTCTTTCAATAAAGACTTTTCAATCTTTGATATACTGTTGCAACCGTTTTAAATAAGTGTAAGTTACTATTAGTCTAAGGTGCAATGGCTCAGCAGTTAGAGACCCTGAACTTGTCAGCTGGAAAGCTTACAGTTGGGTTTGACACCTGAGTGCCACATGACAATAGGAAAGGATACAAATGCAAGTAGATAAATAGGTACCACTCCGGTGGGATATCTATCTATCTATCTATCTATCTATCTATCTATCTATCTATCTATCTATCTATCTATCTATCTATCTATCTA